AATATACAAAATCCTCATAAAGATTCTATTAATTGCTCTATTTACAAACAGCTGTTATTCTTTTCTTAAATTGTGAACTGCATTTATTCATTACATGTGAATTGCTAGTATTCAAAGATCAGTTTTGTCTCAGTATACATATACAGCTACAAAGGATAACAATATGAAAAAAATGCACCATTTAATCTTTTGCCTCAGAAGTAGAGGTCTAAGCCACACCTTTTAAAGAAAATATGAAAAATATCAGATACCAGCACCAGATGAGTTTGGGCAGGTGAGAAAAGCCTACTGTGTCAGCAGTCTCTACTTTCAATTGGAATTCACCACAGACAAATCTGAGGGAAATTACTTTTACAATCTACAAATTGCTTTCCTACATTATCTACACAAGTCATTTTAGGGAATGATAATACATTTATCTTTTGATTCCCATGTTGAAATCTGAATCACATTTCTCCAATCAAAAATCCTATGTATACATTACAATATGTAGATCAGTTTGTGACACAATAAAGTGGGACCACCATTCTCAGCCTGTCATGATATTGTGACCTCATGGTAGATCTGTCCTCTGACACTACAAATGAGCAGAATACTTTACAGTTATGAACAGACCCAAAAACTGTCAAGAGTATCAATTCATGAAGGATGGGGAAACAGATTCTGAGCCAATCCTTCAACTATAACATGGTATTACTGCAATCTACCAAAATCGGTCTTTGACACACTTCCATTTGTGCATCTAACATGAGAAGGAGAATTTGTACATGGGACTTTTCCATGTATTTATTTCCTCTCCCCAGGGCAGATGTGGAGCTACAGAGAGGAAGTTTGGTGTAGTGGTATAAGGTATCAGAATAGCAACCAAGAAACAGAGTTCCATTACTTCCTCTCAGTCCAAAGAAGAAGCCAATCTTTGCAAATCACTTCCAAAAATCCCGCTAATAAAACTGCAGGGACTTGTCCACACAATTGTCAAGATTGACTCAAAAGCACACATAGACAAACTACATTGCATTGGTCCAAAATCCCATGAATACTAAAAGCTAACTTGATTATATTGTAAACATTTTCTCTACTCTACTCCTTATTGTATCAGGTTTCCCAAATGAAATAATACTGTAGAGGAGGCCTGCACAACTTGTATAGAGGAAAAATGACAAACCTTTCCTCCGTACAAGTTGACAAACTAAAAATAACTGTGGGCTGCAAATGTATACCTTGCATCCCAATCATTTTTGGGGGGGTTTACAGGCACTTATCAGTGCATCTTCTTTGCCGGGGGGGGGGGGAAGCAGTGAATGTATTGACTTTTTTAACAAAATGCTAGAGGTCTGCATGTTGTCCAGATCTCATGATGATACAAAACTAGCAAGTCTCAAAAGCACTTTTGCAAAAGGAAACTAGACCATGTTTTTTCCTTGAGGAAGAAGATGTTTTGCTTCTCATCCAAGAAGCTTCATCAGTTCTTACTGGATGGTAGGGATAGAGAGATGGAAGGATTAGTTCCATCCCTCCCACCATCTAGTCAGAACTGATGAAGCTTCTGACATCTTCTTCCTGAAGGAAAAAAACATGGTCCAGTTGCCTTTTGAAAAAGCAATCTTGAGACAAATCAAGACCCCTTGCAGGCTATGTACAAATTGGGGGTGGGGTTGTTGCAGACAACTCTTTTCTCTCTCTCTGAGGCTTAGATTTTGATAGGGAAGCTTTTCAGCTATGGAGGAGATAAACAAAGTCAAAAGGAAACCTGGCAGGAGGTAACAAATGGTGATCACTACGCTTAACAACTACAACTGGAACTGGAGAGCTGCTGCATAAGTTGGAACGGTCACATGATATTGCAGTTCATAACTGCAACACTAAGCAATGGAGTTACTAGTCCAAAGTCTACCTGCACCATGATCCTTCTATCTTTTCCAGGCTAAACTTACTTAGTGCCCCCAATCCCAAAGATTTCTTTTTTCCCCAAAAGGCAACTGGATTTTCTTGGGGGTTTTTTTGAAAACATTTTGCTTCTCATCCAAGAAGCTCTAGATGAGAGGCGAAATGTTTTCAAAGGAAAAACCAAGAATGTCCGATTGCCTTCTGGAAAAAGCATCTTTGGGACAACTATAACCTGGATGATTGAGAATTTCCATAGTCATTTAGTACCTCCAATCATTCCACATTCATATTCCCTTCCAAGTTTTTTATCATCTCTACTCTGATGCCCTCCAGTTTCTTAATGTCAAGATTCCTCTGAATATTGATACTGTTATTATTGGTTCATTTTTATATTGTGGCCAACTGTGATAATCATGTTTCCCAATTCCATCAGAGATATTTATAAATATATTAAACAACACAGAACCCAGAATGAAGTCCTATGCAATGTCATTCAAATATTTATAGGAATATCCTCAACTCTACCAGGACCAATCAAAGTTTTCTAGAGTTCTTTTCTCTCCAAAATTAACACACACTAACAGGCAATGGGAGAACCAAATGTTACCTAATCCTTCACAATTTGCTACAGACTGTAAGTCATTCAAACACAGTTTCAATTAAAAACATTTACTGGGAAGATTTTTTCAATAGTTCATCTGCAACTGTGAAATTACGACTCTGAAAATGTTAAATACTGTCATATCTCTTCCATAAATAGAATAGGCTATCCAAAACTACCTTATTTATTACTATTATTCCATATGGCACCTGGAATAAATACAATATATTATATTAAAAGTCTTATTAAGGTTATATTTAAATAAAAATAAAAATATTTTATTATTAGAAAAGTAAGACTGTTATAAAACTGTAAATTCTCAAATTCTTTAAGTACTTTAAAGAAATTTATCCAGTGAAAAAGAGGATATACTTTCTAGTAACATAATTATTTTTACTTTCCTAGAAGATTTTTACTACCTTAAAAAATATCAAAATTCACTACAATCTGGATACATATTTCAGACATCATAAAATGACATATCAGATAGTAAGAATGCCTTTTAGAAATCATATTAGCTCCAGATTAAAAGAACAATCACTATCACACAGCACCCATCTGCAGCTGTCTTCCATATCTATTATTATTATTATTATTATTATTATTATTATTATTATTATTATTATTATTATTACTACTACTACTACTACTACTACTTCAGTGGGTTTTTCTTTCATTGTTTATTTTCAAGAACTGTTTCCTGGTCCAAGTGCTAGTAAAAATGGTAGCAAAGGGGAAAATGCTTTGTATGCTCAGAAAACTAAGAAAATAATTCTGCATGTATCACTAATCCATCAAAGACATTACTGTATAAAAAAAATATTTCTAAAAGTCAGTTTGTAACAGCCAGGCACTGAACATTGCTTTAATTATACATGCACACTTTTGTACATACTTATCTCTGGGTTTCTTTGGGAAGTGGAAAATAATGTTCCCTAATTATCAGAAATCCCCAGTACAAAATACTCAAAAGGAAAAAAAAAAAAAAGGAAAGGTAGAACTGTATCCAAGGAAGCCAGAGGAGGCGGGAAACCTCTAGTGCTTGATATAAATTGGGAAGGGAGGGGAAGGGAGAAAAACCAATCAAGCTGGGGAAAGAGCGTTCTAGAAAGTTTCTGCCAACAGCAGCTGAGATGCTTCATCACCAGCCTGTTTTCCAGACATTGTTTCATGTGGCTTCAAGGGTCACATGACAGCTGCAAACTAATGCCTTAAAGTCTGTTTCTGCCTCTCGGTGACACTGGCAGGCTATGAGAGTCTCCAACCCCACAGAAAGAATGTTCTCCCCTTTTTTTCCATTACATCATCCAAATCAGTCCTGGGGGAGACGGGAGAGATTCACAGCTGGTGGCAGCTGCAGTACCATCTGCTTTAGTTTGCTTGGCAGATTCCGACTGAACCTCTTCTGGTGAAGCACGCCTGCATCTCAACACAAAACACCCCATTGTGCAAAAAAAAAAAAAAAAAAAAAGATATTTGCAGTTTGTGGAGGAGTGAGTTTTTCCACTAAATGGTCAGAAATGGAGGCATCAGGTGAGGATTTCTGATCACAGGAAAGGAGCCTACCACACAAAAGACAAAATTGCTGAACACGCCACGCTTATGAGAGAAACAAGACCGGTGCCATAACCTGCCATCTGCTTGCCACAATGCCAGGATTGAAAAACTACAGTCAGCAATAATTTTGGAAAAAAAAAAGGGGGGGGGAGAAAGGGAGGAGAAAAGGAGCTTAAGCTTTCAAAGATAGAGATTAGCAACTTGGAAAAAAACCGAAAACTAACAACTTAGCCCTAGATGGAAAAAAACTTCAAATATATTTATGAATACTGTCAGCACTTCTGATAATTTATGGGAGCCCCAGCTGGAAGGGAAGACTTTGCAGTCACTCACTGTGATAGTGATAGAGAACTTCACCATAAACTAAAATTAGAAAAGGGTTTTTATCTACCTCCTTTGTTCTTTGTGATATGTTTACAACTAAGTTGCATTTTAGTTGTAAAAAGTGCTTTCCATATTTAGTAAGTATGAATACTGTTTGCTTGCTTGCTTGCTTGCTTGCTTGCTTGCTTGCTTGCCTTAATCATGTTACACTCTTGGAATACGTTTAAAAGTTTTGTGGAAGATTTCAGAACTAATGCAAACTTTCTACTTATCAATACACAACACACAGCTCAGCCAGTTTTTTTTTTTAACCTAATTGCAAAGGAATAAGAAGTGGGGGAAATTGAACAATGCAACAGGCATGAATGTTCAACAGCAGGCTGTCCTTGTTACCATAATTCATTTGTTAAAAAAGCAATTTCCCTGCAGTAAAATAGCTGGGATTTTGGAGTACATCTACAGTAGATCCACCACAAACGAGCCATTTAGGTTCTGATATGAACAACAGACAAGACCTCTGATTTCAGGAACACTCATGTGAACGCCCAATGCTTTTGAAGTGTCTCGCATGTCTCTACACAAGAAGCTTCAGGCACTGTTTTCAAAACTGTCTGGGTTTGTAATGACTTACCATACATTTTGCCTTCGTCAGACAATATGATCTTCCTCCTCCCACAAGGGGGATATATAGCTAGAGCCTCTTGAAAGCTCTGCTCAATATCTGGACTCCAGACCCCTTCTGCGTCATTGTCAATAGGTTTATCTGCAGAATCACTCATTCTTTCAATGTCCTCGGCAGGACTCTCGCTGCCGCTCCAGCTGCTGGGCTCAATGGTGGTGGCTGGTTGGTCCAAGCCTTAGCCTGGAAGCTTTAAGAGAATTAACCTATAAAACAATAAAGAACAGTTTCAGGTGAAATTTTCTTGTTTAGTTTTAATAATCGATAGAACAAAAGCACAACTTGTACTTAAGGATGCAGAGAACTAAATAAAATTGGTCAAGTTCTACTCTTCTTAAAGCAACAGGGGGGCTAGTGTCCATTATTTCTGAAATTAATAAGAACTGTAATCAATACACATAATATTTTGGAATATACTGATTACACTGAACAACTATAATGGGTTCTAGAAGTTTAGAACTAGTTCCTGCTGGAAAAAAAAAACATTTCTATTTTAAAATGGAAAATTTTCTATTTTGATTCTTCTCAAACATTCAAGGAATTTTGACACAGATGGAAAACCAGTATACTGCACTTTCTCTATTTTACCTCTGAATGGCATAGTTTGCAACTGAAGAAACAAGAAAGTGACCAAGCCATTGAAAATAAACCATATAATACAGACAAGGAATAACTAGACGAGATTTTTATCTGTATCAACTACGAAGCAAGAGATGGCTCTTCTTTCAGATGTGCAATCAATTTCTTATGAAATAATCTAATACGACAGCACCTGCTAAGTCCACTCGACTCACAGACATTTCATTGCTTCTCTTGTATTTGTGGAAAATGTACTGCTGATACAAAGGTGTGCTCTAGGCAAAAATCTGCTCTACCAGTAGGACTTCACAGTGGTAAGCCTGAAGAATACAGTGCAGAAGCACCAGGAATGGATTTATCTCAACCTGCTGAAACATTGCTGATTCTTATTAGAGACAAAGCATACATGGGCAGACTAAGACTAATATAAAAGATAACTTCCAGAAATGTTTGCTCAAATGTTCACATCCTTTTTTAAAAAAAATCCAGATGAAAGATCTAAGAAAAAGTAGTAAAGTTTTTTTCCCCTCCTCTTTTTTCACAATGCAGAGGAAAATACAGGAAATAAACCAAATCATTTGTTTAACACCGCTGTATATTATGAATTAACCCTCCACAAGTGATTTAGAGTTGCCTCAATGAAGAGACGTGCCCTGGAGAAACATAATTCTCATTGAAGCAGAGATAAATTGATTTGCTCCAATGAAGCCCTTTGTGTTTGGTGTTCTCTTGGCATTTCAATTCCCCACCTGCCATTTGCCAATGTCAGCTTCCATGTGCCTGTCCCAAAACCTCTATGGCAAGGGCAGACCAAAGAAGGTGGAACGTGTTTTGAGGAGGTAAGCTGCGAGGGGCTGCAAAACAAAGCAAAAGTTGCAAGCACAGCATGCGCTTCTCCTGGGGTGAGAACTCAGCAACCAACTCCTACATGGGCGAAAGGAGAGCTGCTGGCCACAGCTAGTCTATTGGGTGCAAATAATTCTCAGGAGCTGAACAGAGTTTTAAATGAAGTCCCCATTTTGGCAAATGCTGCTATTTTACAGATGCAAACATCCTCTTTTGCAACAAATAAACGGCTTCTGTTTATTTCCAGAGAACTTGGTGATTAATCACTTCAAGTTCAGCATTATGTATGAAGAGCCCAGTCTGCTAGTTTCATTTTAATCTGGAGTGAATCACCAGTATTGTGCAAAAGTAACCTTTGCATCATCCAAATGTTTAAATTATGCTTTTATTAGTGAACAGTCAATATTAAAACATTTCTAGGTTAAATTTCAGAGTGTTTTTTCTTAAAAGTATAACTAAATTGCTTATGTATACTACAGCTTAAACCAGAAGGGTGACTTAGTTCAGTATTTTTAATACAAATTCACATATTTTCAAGAAGAATAGAATAGAGCTGGAAGGGACATGGAGGTCTTCTAATCCAGCTCTCTGCTCAAGCAGGAGACCCTATACCATTCAAACATATGACTATCTGGTCTCTTCTTAAAAATCTCCAGTGATGGAGCGCCCACGATTTCTGAAGACAAGCTGTTCCACTAGTTAATTGTCCTCACTGTTAGGAAATTTCTCCTTAATTCCAGGTTGCTTCTCTCTTTGGTCAGTTTCCAACATGCAAGATCATAATGTACCCAAGTGAATTTCATACATATTAACTGAATTTAATTTCCAAAACTGGGAAAAACACTCCTTTCAGACACTGATCTAAACAGCTTCAGCTAATTAATTTGCAGAAGAGTGCTTTTGATCTCATAGAAGAAACTTGACTATCTTTAAAATAAGAAATTTAAAACAATTTAATTTTCATTTACTGTGCAATTCAAGTATTTTCAAAGCATCTAATGCCTTATGTCTTTATAGTCTTCTATTGCTGCCTTGGCTCCCCCTCCCCTTCTAATATTGTCCATGAAATATTTGGGTTCCTAGATGTGCAGGCTGCTTCTGGAACTGCAATTTGTTCACTTCCCTTTTGCAAACAGATCCAGATCCAGTCCATTCTCTATCATTTCTTTTGTATATGTTGCAAACTGGACCTTTATGAGAATTTGGGTTCTCACTTCTACATTCAGTTCAATCCCTGGATTGGATCACTAATAAGCTATGCTTTAATTACATGCAAATTGCTGAGGCTTGGCTTGCTAATAATTAACTTACACTATTTATTTTAACATGACTTAGTCGATATGTAACCTCTTGTTAGCCAGGCAGGTCAAACTAGCTGATAAAAATAGCTCAACTCCCATTGTTTGCAATCAGAAAGGACAGAAAAACATTTTGTCATCCAGTTCACTTTTGGGTTGTTTTCAGTACAATATTATCTAGGGAAATAACATACCCTTTTTATCTGCATCAATTCCTTGAAAAACTGATTAGGTGGGACAGAACTTCAAGGACCATCATATTGCTGAAAAATTTGTTCAGCTTCTCTATAACTGAAAACTTTTTAAATCATTGCCAAAACTGAGGCATTCTCACAAAAGCAAAATTCTATTTTTTTAATGCTGAAAGATTTATGCAAGCTGTGTTGTTCTGAACATTGCATTCCTGTTACATTTCCTTACATTTCAAATGCAGAGAGACAAGTCCAGTAAAGAATAACTAAAAGTTCTATTTTCTTACATTCTCACTTAAACAAATATCTTATTTAACTAATTATAGATTCGACATATACAAATCAGTGAGTTTTATGACCTATTCCACATATACAGTATATGATGCTACATTTGTATCAAACACACAGAATTCATCTGTAAAGTATTTACAAATCATCCTGATAAACACTTGGCAAAGATGTTTAGCAATATTTAACCTGATGTAGAAAATTATTTCCAATTAATAAAAGCTATCAAGTGCAGATTATTATATGATTTATTAAGATTTAATAGAACCCAAACCTTGATTCTTGCTTTATTAAAAATCATTAATATTAGCCTTGGCAATAATTAATTATAAGCAATATTAATACATTAAAACAATATTCAATATAAATATAAAGTTTGCTATTTTTAGCATTAGGTCTCTATTATTATTATTATTATTATTATTATTATTATTATTATTATGCATTCTGCATTGGGATGGAAGCCCACAGGATTCAATAAAACCAAAGATTGGAAATGTGATTTTGTTCTTTGATGTATTAGAATTATCACAAGAAAATTATAAAATGAAATCAAGAGAACATTTGATAAAAAAGGATACACTTGTTAATAGATTTCTTATGTATAATAGAAGGAAAAGTTCAATGTGGATAAATGATTTGGAGTTTTTAACAAAATAAGAGTTATATACTAATGATGAATATGTTATTGCTAAATGTATACATTTTTGAGATATGTCAGAAGAATGAAATAAAGAATGTATAAAAATGGGCTAAATTTTTGTACTAATATGCAGATGAATCAATGGGAAATGTGTGGTTGAAAAGACTGAAATTTACATTTTGTTCTAGTCTCAAAAAGAGAATTTTTATAAAATGATGTATCATTGGCTTTTGCCACCAGAGAAATTGTCTATCTTAAGGGTCCACAACCTGTTCCATGGCCCAATGGTGGGCCGCACCCCATTCGGAATGGGGCCACGGAAGTATGCACGCACACACACAAAACCATCCCCTCTCCACCTTCACCCCCCCCCCGCTGCCACCTCTGCCAGTCCACCAAGCTGCAAAGGTTGGAGACCACTGGTCTAGAATGTACAGCACTATAGCATTTAGACTTATATACCACTTCATAGTGCTTTACAGTCCTCTTTAAGGGGTTTACATAGTCAACATATTGCCCCTAACAATCTGGTTCCTCATTTTACCAATCTCAGAAGGATAAAAGGCTAAGTCAACCTTGAGCTGGTCTGGATCGAACTACTGGCAGTCAGCAGAGTCAGCTTGCAATACTGCATTCTAACCACTATGCCACCACGGCTCTCTCTCTGTAAAGATACTTCAAATGTTTGCTGGAAATGTGAACAATATGAAGATACATTTTTAGTATGTCTGATGGACATGTAAAAAAGTTTTTAAAAAGTGGATACAAATACATAAATTCAGAGGATTTTGAAGTCTGAGATACAATTGAAACCAATGGGCTTTTATTTAGGGATTAATGAATAAGCAACTAAAATAAATTATGGAACTTTATGTTTATGTATGACAACTGCAGCAAGATTATTATTAAAATTTATAAGGGGTTTCCAGTCAGCCACAATATCTATTGTGGCTGACTGGAAACCCCTTATGGATTTTTTTTTCATAAAAGGGAAAAAAACATGATTAGACAAAAAGTGGATAATAAAAAAGATAGGCTTTCTTTTTAACCATAGACCAAGATATAACTTTGTAATTTTATTTATGTATATTTTCTTCAAAGGAAATCAGAAGCATCTTTTTTCCATTTCTTTTTCTTCTTCTTTCTGCATTTTTGTCTTTTTGTCTTTTCTTTTCTTGCTTTTCTTTTTTCTTTTTATTAGTTTGTATTAAGATTTTATGTTCTTTGTAAAACTTTTAATATAAAAAATGTTTTTTCAGTCTTGCCGAGTATCATCAGAAATGATGTCAGATTTCAGGTAAATGGCTTCAGAAGACACCTTTTATTTTAAATGTTCAGAGAAACAAATCAGAATAAGTTGG